TGTCTGGGGCAAGGGGAGGGGGGAAAGGAGGAAAAAATTGCTGAATGGGTAAGGGATTTTACTTTGGAGGGATGGAAATGTTTCGGGACTGGAGAGACATGGTGGTTGCCCAACACTGTGAATGTTTTCAAACAGCTGATTTTAGGTTACGTGAATTTTACTTCAATAATTCTTTAAACAAAGAGGGACAGGTGGGAAAGGAGATCATCTCCACAACTACAGGTTTATTCCTCCATAATTCAGTTTTAATCAAAGTATAGATAGAAGTTGAGAATATGGCAAGTTTTTCCCTTAAAATGACCATGCTGGCTTACTCTTTGGGAAGGCTTTTGGTACACCAACACGTACCTAAATGTGAAGATCACACCAATGGGTGGGTTTTTATGAGAAGAGGACCACGTGATAACCTATCATTATATATATACTTTTTAATCTAGCTCATCAATAGTTTAGAGAGGATTTTAGGTCTATAATTTCCACTTGACTTTAAGCTGTAAAATGAAAAAGCACAGCAAACCTCTCTGAAGGAGGCTCTGTGTATCTATATTATGGTGATACATTACTGAAACCATTATTTGAGCAATTTTCAGAAAAGCAATGGTCACTTACGTAATATTACTTTAAAATCTCTAGGACTGAAACCGCTCATGTAAAAATATTTATTTTTCCAGATTTTTTTTTTTAAAAAGTCAACTGACCAGAGATGTAATAAGGGTTTATTTTCAGACTCTCATTCTGTTTGATTGACCTAATCATGTGTATCCTATGCCAGCACCCACGTTAGCTTGGATTTGTGTGATTTTTAAGATGCTGTTAACTACAGATTTTCCTGTCATGATTCTTTAAATGGGATTTATTATCCATAATTGAGAGCAAGAAAGTCTAGCTGCTTATCAAGGAATTAGAACAGTAGGCCAACTTCATGAAAGCAGTGAGCTCCTAAAATAAAGAAACCTAGTTCCGTGAAGCTTTTCTCAAAATGTCAAGCTTGGAAAAGATTCTTTGCTGCCCAGCAAATGCTGCCCAGCAACATGGCACTCCTGCCAGAAGGGATTCTTTTCAGTATGTGCCTACAACACAGTAAAAAAAACTGACCAGGTTCCCCCAGGTGGGGCTTAATGATGGCATCCATGGCAATCCGAGGAAATAGGGAAACTCACAAGAAGCTTTACAGGGCAGGGGCGCCTGGGTAGCTCAGTCGGTTAAGCAGCCAACTCTTAATTTCAGCTCAGGTCATGATCTCAAGGTCCTGGGATCGAGCCCCATGTTGGGCTCCACACCCTTGCAGAGTCTGCTTCAGATTCTCTCCCTTTGCCTCTTCTCCACACTCTCTCTCTCTCAAATAAATAATTAAAAAAGAAAGGAAGCTTTATAGGGCAAAAGCAGGAGTGTGCTCCCTGTGAGGGGATTACACACACAGCAAAAGGAAGAGATGGAGGGAAAAGGGGTGGAGGTGGAAGGAGAGGGTGGAGGCAGGGATGGAGGGAGAGAGGAGCAAAGTTCTGAAAGCAGCGCAGGTGAACCTTGAAAACATTATGCTGAGTGAAAGAAGCCAAACATGAAGTCCACATTATACGACTCCATTTATATTAAATGTCTGGAAGAGGGAAATCCAGAGAGACAGGTCAGGGGCTGGGGGAGGGAAATAATCAGGGGATTGACAGCTAAAGGGTACAGTTCCTTTTTGAGGTAATGGAAATGTTCTTAAATGGACTATAGTGTGGGCGCCTGGATGGCTCAGTCAGTTAAGCAACCCCCTTCGGCTCAGGTCATGATCCCAGGTTCCTGGGATTGGGCCCCTCATCGGGCTCCCTGCTCTGCAGGGAGCCTGCTTCTCTTCTCCCTCTGCCCCTCCCCCTGCTCATGGTCGCATGCTCGCTCACTCTCTAATTTAAAAAATCTTAAAAAAAAAGAAAAAGGGGGAAAAAAGGATAGCAGAGTGATGAGGTTTTGGAGGATGTCATTCAACCAAAGACATCACATGCTGGTGCTCCTGTGGGTCCTGGACACACTGGCTGATGGATGCTGATGAAGATCAGATGGGCAGGTGCACAACAGAGAAAGGGATGTAAATACTAAAAAGTCCTCCATCAGGAAAATAACAAATTTCCTAATTGGGGGTCTTTATACTTAGGTTTGTTTTTGTTTTTGTTTTTTTGGTCATTTTATTTGGGGAGATGTTAAATGATTTCATTAAAACTGTCATTGCTAATAAACTGTTTATTTTCCTGGGAATCCAAAAGGCCACCTGCATGTATAGGACGGTGAGCATACTTAGGGAAGACCTGAGAACACCCTAAGCTCTCACCTCACAGCATACATGCAAATGAACTTCAAAGAGATTTGTGGTTTCAGGTTTATCATCCATTTTGAGTTAATTTTTGTATAAGGTGTGAGGCAGGGGTCCAACTTCATTCTTTTGCAACTGGATATCCAGTTGTCCCAGCACTATTTATTGACGAGATTATTCTTTTCCCATTGGACAGTCTTGGCATCTTCGTCAAAAGTCAACTGGCCATCGATGTAATGGTTTATTTCTAGATTCTCAAATCTATTCCATCGAACTCTAGGTCTCTTTATGCTAGTACCACAGTATCTTGATTACTGCAAGTTTGTAGTAAGTTGTCAAATTAGGAAGTCTGAGTTCTCTGACTTTTTCTTTTTTCAAGATTGTTTTGGCAATTTTTTTTTTTTTTATTTAGAGAGAGAGAAAGAGTGCACGAATGAGCATCATAGGGCAGTGGGGAGGAAGGGAGAGAATCTTAAGCAGACTTCATACCACACCCCGCATGGAGCCTGACACGGGGCTTGATCTCAGAACCCTGAGATCATGACCTGAGCCGAAATCAAGAGTTGGATGCTTAACTGACTGGGCCACCCAGGTACTCCAAGACTGTTTTGGCAATTTGGGGTCCCTTGAATTCCATATGAACTTTAGGATCAGCTTGTCTGTTTCAGCAAAAATTCTAGCTGGGATTTTGACAGGAATTGCTTTTAGTGTGTTGATCAGTTTAAGCAGGCATTCCTCATGTATGCTTGACTTACACCAGAGACTCAGCCACAGTCAAATCAAGGAACAATAATAACGGCTGACACTTACTGAGCACTGAACTCATACCAGTCCTGTGCTGAGCGCTTCATATGGGCCATCTCATCTAATCCTTATAATAATCCTAGGAGGCAGGGCTTATTATTAACCTCATGTAACACACGAGGAAATGGAGGCACAGAGAAGTCAGGTGACTCACCCAAGGTGGAAGTGGCAGAGGCAGGGTTCAGGCGCAGGAAGGCTGGCTCCAGAGCCCCTGCCTTTCTCAATCCAGAATATACAGAGAGCCCTCAAACCCATAAAAAAAAAAGACAAGCACACCAGCAGAAAAATGGGGAAAGGATATGAAACAGGTAATTCACCAAAGAAGAAAATACAAATGGCCAATAAATATATGAAATGATGCTCCATCTCACTATAATGAGGAAAATGCATAATAAGCCATAAGATTTTGTCCATCGTATTGGTAAAATGCCTTTGATTAATAAAATCTGGTGATGTGCAGATCTGGGAGCAAAGGAACTCAACAGTATTCAGTGAATACATAATGGTACATTCATTTTGGAAACAATTTGGCAGACTCTATTAAAATATAAAGTACGTATACCCTTCAGCCTGGTAGTTCCACTGAACTTATACACAAAGGATATGGGCAAGAATGTTCACTGAAGCCCTATTTGTAATTATGCAAAATGAAAGCAAATCACACATCGGCCAATAAGGAAATGGCAGCACTGGCCATGGCCAAAGCCACACCACTGGAATGCCAGCTCCATGAAGCCCAAGTTTACATCTGAAGTATAGATATAAAGATGTGGATATATGGATAATGTAGTAGGTTCCACGGTGGCCCCCAAAATATATAGTGGAGTCCTAATCCCCAGATGCCATAAACGAGACCCTATTTGGAAAAACGGTCTTTGCAGATATAATTAAGGATATTGAGATGAGATCATGCAGGATTATCCAGGTGGGTTCTAAATCCAACAAAAAGAACCCCTATAAGAGACAGAAGAGAAGACGACACCACGCAAACGAGAAGGCTCTGTAAAGATGGAGGCAGAGATTGGAGTGAGGCAGCTGCAAGTCACCACAGTGGAGCTCGAGCCTTCAGAGGGAGCGTGGTCCTGCTGACACCTTCATTCTGGACCTCTGGCCTCCCGAACTCTGAGAGACTATGTTTCTGTGGGTTTAAGCCTGCGGGTTTATAATATTTTGTTACAGTAGCCCTGGGAAATTAATACAGATGGACAGATACATTTATTCAGGTCTTCAATACATATTAAATAAAAAAAAAGTTGTACAATACACACATAACTAAATTAAAAAGCCTTACACATTATGTAAAACAAAAAAACACTGAACAATCTATGTGTACAGATGTACGTAACAGCATAGAAAATCATCTGGGACCAGCAGATCCCAAACGGACTTCAGCAGGTCCCTCCCGGGATGGGAGTGACATTTGTAGGATGGGGGGGGGGTTGCACAAAATCTCGGCTTTACTTTCTAACCTTCACACTTAAAAAAAATGGTTTAATTTTCTTCAAAAAAACGTAAAGAGAAACTGATGACAAAGCTTAGCATTTGAGAGATTACGTATAGACACCATTTTAAGAAAAGCCATTTATATTAAAAAAAAAAATCTAGAAGGAAAAACAAATCTCTTATTCACTTCAAAGTATCTTTTCCTGAGCTAGGGAAAGGCAGTCTTCTGAGGCCACTGCCAGAGAAAATGCTGTATTAGCTATTACACATTGTGTGGTATTCTTCGCAAAGGAAACAAATTATGTTAAATATTCAGATTTTCTTTTAAATAATGCAATTTATGACACCCATATTTTATCCGATCAATACAGATAAAAAAATGTTTTCCTTGAGTGTGTATTCTGAGTGGGTGGTGCATATTAATCACTATTGTTTGTTTTTAATAATTTGATTTACTACTCACGCTTTACTGAGGAAGTTTCTTTCAATGCATCCTCCAGACGTAAATCAGAGTCCCCAGATCCTAAAAAATAAAAAAAAAAGGTTTTTAAAATTTAATTATTTTTGCATAAAACAAAATTGTACTGAAATAGTTTCTTGTAACGGTTGTTTCCCTTTAGAGGGTGTCATGAAAGTTAATACCATGAAAGGAAGTTGGTAGAAGCCATCCAAAGACACACTGAATTGATCTCCTTCTACAAACAACTTATCTCCACCAAAAGCAAAACGGAAAAACCGTCTTTGCAGATATAGTTAAGGATCTTGAGATCATGTAGGGTTTAATCTCACCAAGTTTAATGATCACAGTTTTCAGTCCACTAGAAGGCTGAAGGCTCAACTGTACAGAACACGAAGCACAATCTTACAAAAAAGCCTTCTCCATAGTATGTATGGCTTTTGCAACAAGGAATATTGGAGTCCAAAGCTCCACTGATAATGAGCCAGGTTCTTACATCCCACTCCACATCTCATAAATGCTGTACTACATTGTGTCAATCCAGGGTACCTTCCCCCTGACCCCAATATCCATATCTAGATTAGCAGCTCTGATTACACATCACTTAAAAGGCTTGAGGGAAAAGCTTTTCACAAGAGAATCTGTTCTCAGAAGTAGAGCCATATGCCCAACTCTGCCTGCTTTTGAACTTGACAGCTATCATTTCCCCTAGATGGGCACGTAGTTTCCAACAAGGGTATATATATTATCAATTCTCAAACTACTATGTATGTATACTGGAACTGAACAAATAGGTAAATGGGTGATGAATTGTAGAAGCCAGGCTTCTCACTGTTGGAGAGGGAAATTATCGGTAAGAGAAGGCTAGAATGGGAGGAGTCCAAGATGGCAGAGTAGGAGACCTTAGTTTCGTCTGGTCCCAGGAATTCAGCTAGATAGCTATCAAATCATTCTGAACACCTGCAAACTCAACTGGAGAACTAAAGAAAAGAATAGCTGCAACTCCACAAATAGAAAAGCGACCACTTTCTGCAAGGTAGGAGGTGCAGAGAAGTGAATCCCAGGCAATATATGGGAAGATAAACCATGAGGGGAGGGAGCCTCCATCAGCCAGCTACTGAAAAGTGATATAGCAGCTGAGTATAAAATCAGAACATTTAGAGGTCTGCTCCGGTGAGGGACATCACTCAGGTGGCTAAGCAGGGGCAGAACCCTAGGTGGGACAGTGTGGTCTCAGGATCCCTAGGGTTACAGGAAGACCGGGGATGCCTCAGTGCAGCAGAGTTCCCAAGCATCGCAGCAGGGAAGCTGGCGGCGAACAGTGAGCCCAGGAGTGGGCTCTCAGCTCGGGGTCGCCATATACCATAAACTGTGGCATAGTCCAGCCACTGCTCTCCAAGCAGCGGCCCAGGGAGTGGTAGAACCTCAGCGAGACTCCCCTTCTTACCCCAGAAGGAGCAGATCGGGAGCCCACCACAGGAGTCTGCTGGGTTTAGAGACTCCACACAGGGTCATGTGCCAGAGATAGAAACGCGCGGTCACAGGCCGGGTGAGCACAGAGTGCGGCCGGAGACTGGGGAACGGGAATGACTGACTGCTTTTCTCTGGGGGCTGAGGAGTGGGGCCCCGAGTTCTCGGCTCCTCCGGGGCGGAGATGGGGAGGCCGCCATTTTCATTCTCGTCCTCCAAAGCTGTACGGAAAGCTCGCAGGGAACAAAAGCTCCTGAGAGCAAACCCGAGCAGATGACTTAGCCCGGCCCCCGGCAAGGGCAGTGCAATTCCACTTGGGGCAAAGACACCTGAGAATCAACGCAATAGGCCCCTCCCATGGAAGATCAGCAAGAACATCCAGCTAAGACCAAGTTTACGATCATAGAGAAATGCAAAATTCCAGCATTAGGGAAATAAAGTACATAGAATTCACAGGTTTTTTTTCCCCATGATTCCTTAAGTCTTTCAATTTTAACTTTTCTTCTCATTCCTTTTACACCCAATTTCTTATTTTATCAACTCTTTTTTAGGTCTTTTTAAATTTTCATTTTTACAGTTACATTCTATCCTTTCATTGTATTTAGTTTTATATTTGTATATATATGTTTTTCTTTTTTTTTTAAGATTTTATTTATTTATTTGAGACGGAGAGAGAGAGAGTGAGAGAGATAGCCCAAGAGGGGGTAGGATCAGAGGGAGAAGCAGACTCCCTGCTGAGCAGGGAACCCGATGTAGGACTTGATCCCGGGACTCCGGTATCATGACCTGAGCCGAAGACAGTCGCTTAACCAACTGAGCCACCCAGGCGCCCTAAGTTTTTCTTTCTTTACAATTTTGGGATGCAGTTTCTTCTAACAAAGAGACCAAAATACACCCAGAATCTAGTTTATTGCTCTGTCCTGTTCACCTGTCACTTTATACTTTTTTTTGTCTTTTAATTTCCATTTTTACAGTTACATTCTATCCTTTCATTGTATGTAATTTTATTTTTATACATATATAAGTTTTTCTTTCTTTACAATTTTAGGATCTAGTTTTCTAACAAATGAAACAATACACACAGGATCCAATGTGTATGGATCTGTTCTGTTCGCCTGATTCTCTTTTTTTAATTTTTTTTTTCCAGTTTCAGGTCTCTTCTGATTTGTTTAGTGTATATTTCTCTGGGGTCGTTGTTGTCATTTTAGTATTTTGTTCTCTCATCCATCTACTCTTCTCTAGACAGAATGACAAGATGGAAAAACTCACCTCCAAAAAGAGAACAAGAGGGAATACTGACTGCCAGGGACCTAATCAGTATGGACATAAATAAGATGTCAGACCTAGAGTTCAGAATAATAATTATATAGATACTAGCTCGGCTTGAAAAAAGCATGGAAGACACTAGAGAATCCCTTTCTGGAGAAATAAAAGAACTAAAATCTAATCAAGCTGAAATCAAAACGGCTATTAGTGAGATGCAATCAAAAATGGAGGCTCTAACTGCTAGGATAAATGAGGCAGAAGAGAGAATTGGTGATACTGAAGACAAAATGATGGACAAAAAAGAAGCTGAGAAAGAGAGATAAACAACTACTAAATCACAAGGGGGAGAATTCAAGAGATAAATGATACCCTCAAGTTAAACAATAGAATAATTGGGATCTCAGAAGAGAAGAGAGAGAAAGGCAGAAGGTATACTGGAGCAAATTATAGCTGAGAACTTCCCTAATCTGGGGAAGGAAACAGACGTTCAAGTCCAGGAGGCACAGGGAATTCCCCCTCAAAAATCAATAAAAATAGGTCAACACCACGACACATAATAGTGAAGCTTGCAAATCTCAGACACAAAGAGAAAATCCAGACAGCAGCTCAGGACAAGAGGTCTGTAACCTACAAGGGTAGAAACATTAGACTGGCAGCAGACCTAACCACAGAGACCTGGCAGGCCAGAAAGGACTGGCATGATATATTCAGGGTGCTAAATGAGAAAAATATGCAGCCAAGAATACTTTATCCAACAAAGCTGTCATTCAAATAGGAGAGATAAAAAGCTTCCAGGACAAATGGAACTAAAAGAATTTGTGATCACTAAACCAGTCCTGCAAGAAATATTAAAAGGGATGCTTTAAGCAAAGAGAGAGCCCAAAAGTAACACAGACCAGAATGGAACAGAGACGATATACAGAAACAGTGATTTTACAGGTAATACAATGGCACTAAACTAATATATTTCAATAACTGAATGTAAATGTGCTAAATGCCCCAATCAGAAGACACAGGGCATCAGATTGGATAAAAAAGCAAGACCCATCGATATGCTGCCTGCAAGAGGTTCATTTTAGACCTAAAGACACCTCCAGACTGAAAGTGAGTGGGTGGAAACCATTTATCATACTAATGGACATCAAAAGAAAGCTGGGGTGGCAATCCTTATAACAGACAAATTAGATTTTAATAAGAGATTACATTTTAATAAGAGATGAGGAAGGACACCATATCATAATTAAAGGGTCTATCCAACAAGAAGATCTAACAATTGTAAATATTTATGACCCTAACATGGGAGCAGCCAATTATATAAACCAATTAATAACAAAATTAAACACATTGATAATAATACAATAATAGTAGGGGACTTTAACACCCCATTCATTGCAATGGACAGATCATCTAAAACAGATGATCAACAAGGAAACAAGGGCTTTCAATGACACATTGGACCAGATGGACTTCATAGATACATTCAGAGCATTTCATCCTAAAGCAAGAGAATACGTTCTTCTTGAGTGCACATGGAACATTTTCCAGAATAGATCACATCCTGGGTCACAAATGAGGTCTCAACCGGTACCAAAAGATTGGGATCATTCCCTGCATATTTTCAGACCACAATGCTTTGAAACTAGAACTCAATCACAAGAGGAAAGTTAGAAAGAACTCAAATACGTGGAGGCTAAAAAGCATCCTACT